AAATGACATTGAAGGCATTAGTCTACTAGAATAATAACAAGTGCAAAAATTTGAACTTACTTAAGGAAGAGCTAAAGAAAGAAATTTTTGAATTACAATTGGAGGAAGCTTCAGAGGGAGATCTTACAGTGGAGAAGTTGAATCTACTTCGAAGTAAAGTGCATGAACTGAATGTAACTTTAAGAAGATTATCTACATGGTTGAATCAAAGAGCTAAGGCAAGATGGCATGAAGAAGGTGATAGCAATTCTAAATTTTTCCATGATTTTAATTCGGCAAGGAAGAATGGGAATTTTATAAGGCAGATTAAGAATGAAGATAACAATTTGCTGGAGGATTTTGAATATATTGAGTTTATTTTTGTGAAATTCTTTGTGAAGAAATGGAGATCTAGATATTGCAACTTGGAGGATTGCCCTTTGATCACCGAAAACCATAGAATAACTTCTTCAGATATTGTTGTGCTGAATGTGAAATTCACCCAAGAAGAATTGACAGCTCTTGTATTTTAACAAGGAAAAAACAAATCGCCATGTTATGATGGGATTACAACTTCCTTTTTTAAGTTTTATTAGAGCATCGTGAAAGAAGATACTTGGAAACCAATTGATTGTTTTTTTTTTAACTGGTTCTATACATGATGAGTGGAAAGACACTTTGCTTGTTTTAATCCCTAAAGTGAAGAATCTGGTTGTCCATCCAACTATAGACCCATAAGTCTATGTCAAACTACTTACAAGTTTGTGGCAACTATGATGGTGAATAGATTGAAAGGATGTATCACCAAAATAATTTCTGAAGAACAAGTGGCATTTATTTCAAGTAGATCGATGTCTGAGCATTATTTACGAGCTCATGAGATCTTCAACAAGTTTAGGATCTCTAAAAACAAGAAAGGAATGATGGCGGTGAAGCTAGATATGAAGCAGGCATATGATAACATGGGTTGGCCAACCTTGAGTCAAGTTTTAAAATAGTTTGGGTTTCCTTCTAAGTTCTTCAAGTTCATCATGGAATGTGAGATGAATGTTAGATTTTCTATCATTTTTAATTGGAAATATTCAAAATGGTTTATTGCAGAGAGTGGTTTTCGGTGAGGTTGTCTGTTATCACCTTATTTATTCATTATGTTTTCTCAATTATTATTGAATGCAATAAACAAAAGGGGACAAGATTTGGGTGTTCATATTTTACCAAGAACTCAAAAGGTTACACATATCCTATATGTTAATGATGTGTTAGTATTTTCTCAGGCATCAACAAGATTAGCCTAAGTATTGAATGACATTGTTGCTAATTTTTGTGGGTGGACTGGACAGAGGGTTAACAACAACAAGTCTCATGTTATGTTTGGTAAGGTAGTTAAACATCCAAGAAAGAATAAAATTGCAAACAAATTGGGCTTCAATGTGGTTAAGGATATGTATTATTTGGGACATAAAATTGTTTTAAGAAGATTGGGAATGGCTGATTGCCAAAGTATGTTATATCATGTATTGGAAAGACTTAATGTTTGGGGCAATAAACTTCTATCTATGGCAGGTAGGATTACTCTCATAAAGTCCTCTTTTTTATCATTACCAATTTTCTTATCAACACATTCTATGGTTCCAAAGAGATTGTTACATGAATTGGATAAATTTTGTAAATATTTCATATGGAACAAAGCAAATGGAAGAAAAGGGTTACATTATGTAGCTTCGGATGAATTATGTAAACCAAAAAATAGTCGAGGTTTGGGGCCGCATTCAACTGCTCTTAGAGCTGGCCCTCTTAGATCGAGATTGGCTTTGAGATTCATTCAAAATCTTAATTCCTTACTTCATATGAATATTATTGCTAAGTATGGTGATAATATTTTGAATGGGGAATGTAAGAGAGGAGCTTCAATTGTGTGGCAAATTCTGGTGGATGGCATCAGATATCTCAAAACACTTATTAGATGGAAAATGGGAATTGAAATAGTATTAATGTTATGACAGATATATGACTTCTAGATAAATATTTTAATACTTGGCCAACACTTGCTGAATGTGTGTGATTGGAGAATGTGATGATTCACCAATTCATTTCTATTAATGGCAGCTGGAATGTCAAGGAGCTTCAACGATTTTTCTATGAGAACCTTATTTTGTTGATTTTGTAGGCTTCTATTAATCTTGCCTTTGAAAATGATAAAGTGGAAGCTATGTTCCATCATTCAGGGTGATCAATTTCTGCAGTTGCATATGAAGAATCAATGAAAGGTGGCTCTAAGGAGGATGATTTCGGCTATTCAAATTGGCTAAGAAAACTAAAACTCAATCCGAGAGTGGAATTGTTTTGGTGGAGGATGAGTAAGAATGCCATTCCAACAAATGAATTTCTTAAATATAGATAGCTATGTTACAATGATCTATGTGCTAGATGATGTCAAGAAGTGGAAAGTTATGCTCATATTACGGTTAATTACAAATTTTTAATTGAAATTATTCTAAAGCTAAGAGATTAGGGTTTTAGCATTCCAATATTTCAATCATTTGAAATATGTTTGGAGAACTTAGAAGCCTTTCTACTTGGTATTCTAACACGGTGAAGATGTATTGTGCATCAATTTTTTTATCTTGGAAAAATCAAAATGATTGTAAACATGGATCGAAAGCTAACTCTTCTAAGCTCAGTAGTTATAGCGAATGTGTTGTTTACATCTAGGTTACAAACAAGTCCAATGCTAGATATCTGGGGTGTTAATCTCCTTAAGGAATTTCGTAATGAATGGACCCTCCACCGCTAGGTTGGATTAAAATCAATGTGGATGCTTCACTTTTGAAATCTAATCTTGCTAGTATTGGAGGAGTGTTTAGAGATCATAAAGGAAGACTTCTTCTTGCTTTTGGGAAGAAAAGAATTAATTGGGATGTGGCTCAACTTAAGTTGGAGGCGCCTTTGGCATTAAGGGAGTTCATTCAATGTTGGATGATTGATATCGAAGGAGTAATAATTGAAGGTGATAATCTCAACATTATCAATTTCATTCAAGAAACAATGAATAAATCAAAGTGGCAACTAGACACTTGTAGGACAAAGGCGTTATTTTTTTTAAAATGATTTCAATAAGGTGATCTTTCACCATGTTTCTAGAGAATGTAACAAAGTAGCGGTTTTATGTGCTAATTTGGCTTTAGAAGATATTTTTTTGTTGATAGCTTTTCTTTTGGCAACATTCCTTCTTCCTTGTTTAGTTTGTTAAAGAATGAATGTGAGCCTTTTATTACTTGTAAGTAGTTCTTCTATCTATTGCAATTTGCATATTTCAAATAAAAGGTAAACTTTCTTTAATAGTAGGTTAGTGTTGTTAACCCATCCAATATGTGGAGAGATAAATGTATGTGACATGATTTGAAATGAGTGTCAACAGGCTAAGGGTGACAAATCTTGTTTACAATGTCAACTATATGATATGATATGGTATCATACCCAGTCATGATATGACTGGTATTTAAAAACACCACAAAATAGGCTAGATATCTTGACTTGCATAGTATAGTGTATGAATATGAATGTAAATATTTTCTTAATGTTAGTTACATTATACATAATGATAGCATATGCAAGAAATATATGCATATGATATTATTTTCATAATGAGATTCACATGAGCATTTAACTACAGGATATGCAAGCATAGTGAAATACATGACCTATAGAGTAAGTATCACATGACTTGAATAGTGGTGACTCGACATGTATCTCAATATTAAATATGAGCATAAGAATGAGCTCATGTACATAATATAACAAAAAAATGAGTCTAGTAAAATAGGTATGCACATAATATGATATGAATAGATATTTTTAATATGCTAGTTTCGATTCTAACAACGTTTTAAGCAAAAGTAATTGTAATGATTACATTGTATTTGTCATGGATATGCATAAATCTATATGTTCACATGATTAACAAACATGTATACTGTTTAATGTCTTTTGCATTAGGGGTAAAAATGAGTCAAGCTGACTCGTGAGTCAGCTCGGGCTTGACTTATTAACTAGTTCGAGAGTAAAGCTTGGACTAGATTTCGAGCTTGTTGGGCTTATTGAGCTCAAATTCGAACAGCCATCTGCTCGAACCATTACACGTCAAGCGGCTTGCAAAAAAGAGAAACAACAGGGGGTGGAAGGTGGAACTGTGGGGGCAGAAGATGAAACAACAAAAGCTCGCGTGTGAACAATAAGGGGACACAAAATGACATGCGAGACTCTGAACTGAATGATGTGGAACTGCATGCGAATGGCAGATGCATAACTGAGTGTGAAAGGTGGATGCAAAATTAAGCAGCTCGACAAACTCATTTTCCATTGAGAGTCGAGCTTGAGCTCAATTTTTTAGCTCCTACTTGAGTTCAAGCTCGATATTGGCTGATGAGTTGAGCTCAAGTTAGGTCTGACTCAAGCTCGACTCAACTCGTTTGCACTCCTACTTTGTATTGATACACTGGTAACTTTTGGTGAGAATGTTGGATTAGTAGTTCATTATGTGATTTTTATGTACCAAGGAAAGAAAAAGAATAATAAAAATGAGGTAATAATCTCATAAGTGATTCCTTTAATTCTATTATTGATAATTTTGTGATCATGATAGATGTGTTTCGGTAAAAAAATATCAAAATTCATGATCTACATAAATGATTGATTTTGAGAGAGAGAGAGAGAGAGAGAGAGAGAGAGAGAGAGAGAGAGAGAGAGAGAGAGAGAGAGTTAAAAAAGCATTGCAGACAACTTAAATTGATATCAATGAAGAACCAAAAAAGCTATGGATAAAATCCGCTAAATATGAGCTTCATTGTCAATCTATGCTGATTAATTATCCAAAGATTAAAATAATCTCAGCAAAAATTTTACAGCAATGAAGATCAATCTAATTAGATTTTGGTCAGGATATTCTGATGCTATTTTTTTCATCAATCAAATAAGTTTTTAATTGATATTTAATTATGATTTGATTTACTTGAGATCAATAATGTCCCAAACCTCCCAACTTCAACCGAGATTGTCATATAGTGAGCAATCTAAAACAGTTACAGTCCCCAAAGACAAATCACTCTCATTTCTAGACTAGTAACATCCTCCTCAATGCAATCCGGTATTCTGATGCTTTCAGAATCATATTGGAAATTAATTTCGCAGTTCTTATAGCACTATAATTCTTCATCATAATTCATTTTGATTGCCACAAAGCAATACGCTTTACACGGGTAAATTAACCGGAGGATCTAAGCTGCCTACAAGGATTCCCAGATCAATGTCTTTGTCCTCAAACTTCTTGATGAATGGATGACTCTGTAATAAAATCAATTAGTGTTTAACGGGCCCAAAATAAATAAATAGAGAATTAGCAAAAAGCTTAAATGTACAACACTAACCAGAAGCTCCGAAGAAGACATTCTCTGCTGAGGATCTTTTTGTATGCTGCGACAAAATATAAAAAGGAACAGTTAAACATAAATTCAAACTAAGAAAGCTATTTATTTCAATTAGACATAACTTCCCCTAAGAAAGCAACTTATTCTATGTGAGTTTGATGAATTAATATTATATAAAAAGAAACCTGTGGGCTCCAAAAATTCCCACCCCCACCCCCAGCCTCTGCTTTCGGGAGAGTTTTAACGAATTAAGTTCCGGTAAAAATTTTAAGAAAGCAGAGTAGATTTGTATATAAGACACTACCCAGAGATTTACTTCCTCATTTTGCGAGGACTTTATGATCTAAGTTCTAGATTCCTATAGGCGCAAGCCCCTAAAGTTAATTACCCCTGCCAATAACGAGGGAGAACTTTCGATTAAGGCTAGGCGTCAATCAAATACGTAGAGATACATGTATCTGGCATATAGTGGCAACATAGGTTTAGGCGTTTGGAAATTTGATATTTAAAATTAGAAATTTCAACATCTTCCACTTAGAGCGGACAGTGGGAGAATGGATGATGGACCCGACCAACATCTCATGGTTTCGTCGTCTCGACCCATTGTGGTCCCTGGTCTACTTAGTTAGAAGAGGTAGTCGACCAAACCTGACAAAAAGATCCTTGGCGGCAACCATGAGTTGTGTCGTCCAAGGGTAACCTTGTAGACCTGGGGGGATATTTGCCTAAAGAGAAATTTTGAATCCACCTTAGCTAACAAAGGGCTTTGCTCCCTATCGATTATACTCTATTGATTCATATCTAAAGGATTTAGTGTCATTGGGAAGCTTACGGGCTCTAGCCATGGCTTTAATTTAGAGGTGCCATTTGGCGGCGAAACCACCTGATTCAGAGGTCCTTGGTCAGAATCGTTTACTTGCAGTGTCATTTGGCAGCATAATCGTAGGTCGCGCATCGGCATAATCGTTTACTTGTATGGATGTTTCGGATCCGGTGGCATGTGGTTGTAGAGCATTGGGGTTTCATTTGTCGCGCATCGGCAACGTGTTTTTGCTCATTTTTGTCTTCAGCAAGTTATATCTTCCTTAGTATTCAGACTGCAAGAATATGCTTTAGCTTGCAAATGAGTTGTGCGGTGTGTTAGGAACCTCCTACCTGTCACTGATTTATCTTGTGTGATAGTCTGGCACTGCAAGTTCATTGCCTTAGTTTACCAGTAGTTTGCGGTTTTTAACTACAAATTCTCTTCTTTTGCTTACAGGTGAATCGTATATGATCTGGGTCATTTGTGGCTTCTTGCATAAAATTCGTTATGCATTGTAAGCTTTATTGAATAAATATGTAGGTCGTCAATGGATATCCAGCAACCACCTGCTATTGCATGCAAGCATATTGCATTCAAAATATATTTTTCTTGAGATGCGGCTTACCAAATTCCTTTCTGATTTCCCTCTGTGCCTCTCGTCCAGATCTACTCAAAGGATTCCACCTTTTACTCTCTATCTGAAGACCAAACCAACCAAGAACCTTACCAAACCGTTCACACTCACAGTAGGCCGAACCTCCGTCTGAAGACGCCCTTCCTCATGCTTGAGTCAATTCCTTCTACCTTGCTGCTCTTATACACCTCTCCACGTAAACGTCTTACAGAATCCAAATTCCCAAACTCTACTCAACCTCCCCTCTTGCCCATGCTTCATGTGAAAATCTACAGAAGATTTATTTTTTTGGAAAAAGAAACTATAGCAATTTTCAAAAGCAACTGCAGTTTTTCTTTTTGTTGTTTTGTCCTTTTACTTTCTTTTGCATGAATCTCCTGTAGCTCCACTCACATTACACTCAAATCAACCCATTTTATTTCCTTAGATTTCTAAATTCAGCCCACAACTTCACCTAAGCCCAATCCTTCTACACCTCAAAACCCAAATCAGCCCACTTTCATACATCCACACTAGTCCACTTCAAGCCCACCATCACCACTTCTAAATAGCACAAAACATATCTCCTTAAAGCCCATAAAAGCAAAAATAACATCCTTCCCTCCGCCAACCAAACAGTCGCCTATCAGCCCAATTCATCTAACAATTAGCCCATACAACTTATATTCAGCTCACCTCACAAACGAATCCAAACAATAAGATATTCTTTTGCTATTTTATTTCTACTAGTTAGTATTAATAACTATTATTAAGTAAAGTTAATGTTATTACTTATGTCTCCTAGTCAATATTACTAATCATTTGTATTTTTGTTATTATTAAATTTGAATATGTATGTGTTAGTGTGTATACATATGTATATGCAAGTAAAAAAGGGGGGAAGTTAAAAAAAAAAAGAGAAGAAAACTCAAAAAGAGAAAGAGGAAAAAGAAAATGCAAAAAAACAGGAAAAAAAAAGAGGGAGAAAGAGGACATTTGGTTTAAATTACACATTTTTGTGCACATTTTCGCCACTGCCGTCAACCTCACCGTGAAAGTTATAACACCCTTGAAACTCCGAGATCCCGCTTTGAAACTCCGAGATCCCGCTTTCGATTCTTGCAGCGCAGCGAACAACAACTTATGCGCGATTTTCTTAGCGCGGTGGGAGGAAGCTCGTCGCGATGCTTTCGATAATACGATCCTCTAAAGTCCTATTTTCAGTGTTCGCAGCGTGCTGAGGGACCCCTTATGCACGCTTTTCTTAGCATGGTGGGAGAGAACTTGGTGCGGCGCTTACGGCGAGGCGGGCGAGCCTTGTGCACGCTTTCTTAGCATGTGGGGGGGATTTAAGTACCAGTACACACTCTCATAATGTGGCGGGGAAAACAACTGTGTTTTCAAACAGGTAGCCCTGAAGACCTATGCAAGATTTTCTTTGTGTGGTAGGATTGAATACTACAGTTGCGGTGTCACCCAACACCGACCGTGTACATCTTTCTTGACGTAGATGACGTGGTGGGCAGGCTAAGACTCTTATAGTTTCCCCTAAACGAGGGAGATGTCGGGAGGCTGCCGAAATTCCGCCTGAAAATGCATATAACTTGAACAAAAATAAGGGGCATGGACTCGGACCTTATTTGGATACTAAATGAAATGAACTCGAACTGGACTCGGATTTGAACTTGATCTGGACTGCAGGGGACTTGATTTGAATGCTGGGGACTTGAATTTGACATTGAACTGAACATGAACATGGAGATTTTCAGTAGGTTTTCCAGTTCTTCATGGGGGTCAACACTCATCATATATTATATTATATCACATTTTATTAGCACATCATTTACACAATCTTTATTTGCATGTGTTACATTAAGTTCACATAAATTGATAATACTATTGAAACCATTTTTAAAAATATTCACATAAGGAGTTTAATAATGATGCTTATGGTTTAACTTATACTTAACTCCCTAGTTATGAATCCACCAAATAGTATATAATAAATAAGAACTTTGGACTACAACAAATTTTCTAATTTTGCCTCCTGCCATATTATATACTATTTTCATTATATATAGACCCACAACTAAAAAGTTTATCAAGCACTGCGATTGACAAACTAACCCACTTCTAAAAGATATAGGCCCACTACTAAAACTGCTGATAATCTCAATAGTTCTAAATATTGTACCCACAAACATCTCAATTTACAGATACTCCACCATCCTTACAAACACACGAAATATTGAACCTCTCAGACATCACAATATTATTAACTCTGCAAAGCAAAGTTCATCAAATGGAGGATAATTGAAGCAAGATAAGCATATGAAGTTTCAAGAAGGCTTTCACTAGATCAATTACAAAATCGCATCTTCAAAATCCAATAAATTATAATTCATAATTTTTATGCTATTTCATGTAACTTCCATATAAACCAGCCATGAATGTTTTTGGAGGAAGTTTTTCAAATGGAAAACCAAATTGTGATAGTCCTTCAATCACCCCAAATTGAAGACTTATAATTGCAATCAAATATTTAGGGAATTTCTCATGATTGGAATGATTTGCAAATAGTTTCCAAATATACCTCTTTGAAAAGGTCATCAACTATTGAGGGTGAGCTTTGTGGAAATTTAGGTGTATTTTCTCATGAGTTTTCCTTATTTTTTATAGCACTTCATATATTTTCATTAATCACATTGCTTCAATGAAAACAACTTCCGTAACTTGTAAAAACTTATGTCTACAAGGAGTTGGAGTTGTTAGCTTTTGAGATGATTTGCAAATCGACAACAATTAAGGCTTGTGAACCCTAACATATCTCTCTCCCTCTCTAAACTTGTGCTCCTACATTCTCGCCACATTCCCAAAGCCTACAACTCCTTCAAACCTCACAAAAAATAGCCACAGAATCAATTGGCCTAAAATTCCTAACTTTCTTGGCCTAAAATTCCTAACTTTCTATCCACATATCAAATGGACCTAAAATTACCTCTATTAATTAGATAACAACATAGATATCAAATCTAGGGCCCTCACCCTTTTCCAACAAAGAAAACATGACCATTCACTGCATGATAAATTTATCCCAAAATCTTAACTAGTCACTACCTTCCTTAGCCTGATACCAACCCTAATCTTCTAACATCACTCAAATAAACACTTGAAACCCTCTTAAACACCTTTCACTCATGGATAAGTAAAAGAAAAAAAAAATCATAATAAGTATCATACGTTAAATAATAATTTTTTCATTCAAGTACAATAATAATGTTCCTAACACAGTACAAAAACTCTCATATCTTGATCAACACTAAGTTGACTAGAATAACTAAGCATTCACACTTAAAATGGATAAATTATAACAAACATATAAATTTACAGCATGTGAGAATGTTGGAACTTACCAAGCAGATATGAATGAACAGAACTCTGGAGAGAACTGATCCTCCGGCACACTTGGTGGTGGCTCTTCTACAATGGTCTCTAGAAGTTCATAAAAGCTCAAAGGCCCTTCCTCATTTTCAGTTTGCTTATATGGAAAGGAGCCTGTAGCACACTCAAGAATAACTAATCCCAAACTCCAAATATCACTTTTAAAATCATATGAGCCTCCGCTAATCCTTTCAGGCTGACAGGAACACACAAAAACAAAAACAAAAAAAACAAAACCTTGAGTTTGCAACATGCAGAGTTCAGTGAAGAATAGAATGAATTAACAAAAACTATTAAATTGAACCACAGAAGGTCAGGAATTCAATCAATCACGCCAAGAAAGCTAGCTAAACATACCGCCATATAGTTGTATGTACCCACAAATGTATCTCTCTGACCCATAGAACTAGCAAGCACGGCACTCACTCCAAAATCGGTTATCTTCACTTCACCGTTGTGATTCACTAACAAGTTTGATGGCTTTATATCCCTATGAATTATGTGTCTTTCATTGTGAAGATATACTAGACCTTTTAAAACCTGAATACATTGCAACATCTTAATACTGCACAGAGAACAAAACGGACAGTGAAAAATAATGTCTTCACCTGTTGGCATAGAACTGCAAGATAAGGCTCAAGAATTGTTTTGACTTGTCTAATTATATCCGCAAGAGAACCCCGATCCATGTATTCTAGGACCAGAGAAATAATTCCATTATGGTAGAATGAATGGTAACAAACAACCACATGAGGGCACTGTGAGGCTTGATTTATTTTAATCTCTTGGACAATCTGCTTGCGGACTGTCTCTTGAATATTCATCTGGATACCCTGCAAAATTATAAGATCTTAATCACTCATCGGAGGTGAACAACATTTAAATATGCTGAGAGAACTATATGTATGAATTATGCATGAGAAATCCACATTGAATAGAATCGAAACTAGTGTCTGGCACGAAGTTCAGATAGTTGGGTAGATTTCTGCTTTTGCTTTCATAGGACGTTTTACTAAGTAGCTTTTATACAAGAGGACCTTGAAATATCCCAAAGGAGATTCATAGAAGATCTCTTTGAATGGGCAATTTAAACATTACATGGTGAGCCTACAATATACGCAATCATCAATCCACATAATGGTGATCATTACTGACGTCATGCTGATTGAAATACCAGGTCAAATACTATAGTACAATGTAATCTGTTTCTTCTGCCGCGTATACCAGTTCACACAACCACAGATCATGCATTCATTTGGTACGACAAAAACAATTATTTAATCATAAAGAGTCAAAGTGACTGCTAAAAGTTGAATTGATTTTATTTATTATATCTACTCAACTAAACCTACAACTGTCACCGAGACGCCAACTATCCTGTACAAAGTAGAAAAGTTTTGTAGTTCGCACCCTAGAAACCACGACGTCAGGGCGGGCATTCAATTTTCAAAACAGAATGGCCTGATTAAGAAAATAACAAAACTTTTATAAAAGGAACCTTATGATGCACCAACACTTCTCCTCAAAGAGCCGTATATATCCAACACGACACACATCTGACACACCCCCAACACGTTTTGGACAAGCCAAAAAAGTGTCCAGTTAAAAAAATATTAAATACAAATTGGATACTCGTGTTTGACATATGTGTCTTAAATATTTTATAAAATTTATTTTAAATATAATTTCTTGTATTTAAAATTTTTATTTATTTAAAATATAAAACTAAATTTCTTATATCCTATCTACAACACCAAATCAATCGCCTGCACTCAATACCTCATTCATCGAATATTCTAATTTTCATTTCTCTTTGGAAAATTACATCTTTGGTTTCACAACAATGTCCGAAGTCATCTCAACATCAACATCTAATGTCATTACAACATCGACATTTCAAAACTATCTTAACATCAAAGTTTGCCATGGTCTTGACATTGATGCTCGGCACTAGCAATTTCTACATCCACAATTTGATAACTCATCTTTGTCGAATGTCATCTTAGCATTGACGAACAATACCCTTTTGACATAGACAGCATACATTCTCTTAACGTCGACGTCCGATACTGACTGCATAACATCGATGCCTTACTCTCAACAGCATTGTCGTCTCCTCTCTTGATGCTTGACACATAACATTGATGTCGACTCTTGATATTCCAATATTAATCATTTTAAGAATAAGTTCTAGTTAAATCACTAATTATTTCTAAATTATTTGTAATATTATATTTATTTAATTTTTATAAACTATTTTTAAAATATAAAATTTGTAAATACCATGTCTAGCCTGTGTCTGTGTAATATAATTTCAATAATTGATATGTCATGTCCGTGTCGTATTCGTGTCACCATGCCCTTGTCTGTGCATCATAGAAGGAACCACAAGTTGTAATTTGCTAATTACATGTTGATTGAGCAACAAACTCTACTTTTTCTCACTCCTAAATAAAATTCAGGAAAAACCAGATGTAACGGCTTAATCAACTTCCGTATTTATCTATTTCTTAACCATATCAATGAGCCAAAAAAATAGGAGCTTTTTGATATGAAAGAAATGGCGGATGCTCCATGGAAAAAATGGGGAGAAAACTAGTTCAGCTTGATATTGAGAACATTAGGCCAGACCAAAAAAAAAACCAATCATGTTTTATATTATACTTAAGGTAGCAGTCTTCAGTTTCATCCGGCTCCAAAAAAAATGCCAATCATGCTTTATAAACCAGCAAGATGAAAGAAGAAGCATAATCCTGCTTATGCCCACAAAAGAGAATGCAGCATTACAAGTTCTATGTTAAATATATTCAGAAGAAGGCATTTTTTGTATGAATTTAACTTCAGAAATAACATTATACATCTAAGATTTTCTTGTATTAGATTCATTTATTAGTTCTGAAAACATTCCTATAAATAGGCTCCAGCAATTTTTCTAATGGAATTCTAAAAGCACTCCAAGCAGTTCAAACATTCCATTTCTAAGTTTGAATAGCACAAAGCTAAGTAAATGCATGAAATTGATAAAGAACGTGTTAATTGGAGGGAAGAATTGTTGAGGTATAATACCTTCAAAGCAAACAAAGTCCCAATAAATTTGTGCCGAACAAGTTGAACAACGCCACCACTTCCTTTTCCAATAACTTTAACGGTCTCAAAGTCTTCCATAGTGAATTGCATATCCAAATCTTTAACATCTGGTGGCTACAGAAAGGCATTATAAATCAAAAGCCATTTGTAACAAAAATGCTATAAAAGTGAGTGCTATATCAATTGTCCAATATCCATTAAATAAATAAATAGTATAAACAGGTTTGGCCAAATTTACTTTTTCAATAATTAAGATATTAAATAACCAGTAATCCGAATGTTAGAAAGCTAATTATTGACAGAAAAAAAAATTAGCAAATTTACACCAAACATATTTGAAAGAGGCCATCGCAAGGGTGGGGCGGGGCTTGAAATCTTTTTAAATGACACCATTTCTTTAAAATTATATTATAACAGCATGGAGCATTCCTTGTTTAGAGGCTTTGTTTTTTCAATGATCCTTTCAGCTCACAGAGAGAGTTAGTCACCATCACCATCTTATCAAAGAAAATGAACTGGAAACATTCTCTCTCTAGTAGCCATGTCTAATGAAAGGAGAAAAGTGTTGAAGTGATTTTCCTTGATACTATCAAATAGTAAAAACTGGAACCATTCCCTACATTGAGTCAGTGAATACAACAAGATATTACTTAGAAAATGCTCAAGCCAAATCAGCATAAGTGATATCAGAAGGATGCCTAGGTTAACAACTAAAAGGTGAAATAAAAAATTTATAACATGCCATTGATCCACTCTTCCACATTTATGAAAGGAGAAAGCATTTCAAAACTACATAAATAAAAAGGGAGATGCAGATAAATTTCTTGATGTGGAAGGCTTAGGTAGAAAAAGGGATTGAGAAAAGGCAACTAGTCTCGTTAGCTGTTGTGACTAAGGACTTGCATAAACTAGATTTACACCAAACGCAACATTCAATAAAAATGAAACTAGAGGATTAGTAAAGCCTACCATAAATAATTAGGAAAAACAAACTGATCATCTATGATGCACCGACACTTCTCCTCAAAGAGGCGTGCAGTGTTCGACACGACACACGTCCGACACTCCTCCGACACGTGTCAGACATGCCTCCGACACGTGTCGGACATGTCAAAAACGTGTTCAATTAAAAAATATTAAATGCAAATTGGACGCGCTTGTCCGACACGCGTATCTTAAATATTTTATGATTATTTTTTTAAAAGCATGTATCTTAAATACAAATTTGATGGTCGATGCTAGCAATTTCTACACCCACAACTTGACATCTCATCTTTGTCCAACACCTTCTCAACATAGACGACCAACGCCCTCTCAACATCGACGATAAATGCCCTCTTAACATTGACGCCTAATATTTACTGCATAATATCAATGCCCGACTCCCGACAGTATTATCATCGCATTGACGCTCGACTCTCGATATCTTGATATTAATCATTTTAAGCTCAAATTCTAGTTAAATGACTTATTATTTATAAATTATTTTTAAAATTATACTTAATTAATTTTTATACATTATTTTTAAAATATAAAACTATAATACCGTGTTCAACCCGTGTCTGTGTAATATATTTTCAATAATTGTCGTGTCTCATGTCCGTTTTGTGTCGTGCCATGTCTGTGTCGTCGTGTCCGTGTCTGTGCATCATAGCTGATCATGACCATGCAAAAGCAGAAAACAGCTCCATAAACATGAAATAAAATGGCACAATGAAAAATGTTGCTTACAATCTTCTCAGCATTTGGTCGCAAGAAAAATAAAACATTCAAACTATGGCAATCTCGATTTTCTAAATTTATTTCAAAGTCCTACTGTTTCATTAGATATCCTGCTGCCTATTAGGAATAATGTGTCCAATGTTATAAAAAATAAAGGTGACTTACATTTTTCAATTTTACATAGAAGGGTGACCAGTTTAGTTTTATGGATTACTGATTATGTTCTGAGCTATTCGTTTATAATAATTTTCCCCAAGTGATTAATTTGCAACTGACATTTCATTTTGCTCAAACATATTGTATTTCGGAAGATAGTGAGCTACATTATCAATTAAGCCAAACAACGGGTATAATGTCATGTCAATGATGCAGCATGGGTTTTAAGTTAAATTTCATTTCAATCCATAAAAAAAGCATCCATTAGGATAATTTTAGGGTGGTTTGCATAGAATAAAAGCTTGTAATGAATCAAATAAAGATTGAATGATAATTACGTTTTGATTTTCTAACTATTTACATCTCTCCGTATCTCTCTAGCTTTGTTCTTGCTCTTGGGTAATTTTAGTGCACATTCTTCTCTTCTTGTTCTCGTTGTTCACTTGCCATCAATTGATATCCAAGCCTCATGGATGCAATCACCAAATTCCACTCTAACCACAAACTTCTAGAATCCTATCGTGCATGTACTTGTATCATAATCATAAATCTGAGTCGCTATCTATGCCTATATCTTCAAGCTCCACCACCTTGCTCAAGCCCCCATCAACCACACGTCGCTAACATCGATCATCCAACTAACAAAACCCTATCAAGTTCCATCTCCTGTCCGTAGATTCCTCCAAGTACTTAATTGCAAAACCATTCTCATTTATTATAACTGAATCATACTCCATTCCACCCATGCTTATCCCATTTGCAAACTTCATCTTTGTGTTGTAACTACAAAACCCACGTGAATCTTCTTTTCTTGCTACAAAAGTCAGCTATGATGCTATTAATTCCTCCTATGATGACAACCCCACTTCACCCACGTTGCAGATAGCAATCTCTTCATGGCTTCAACTTTAACACTGATAAACACTTCATGATTCTCCACCAACAACGAACACTCTCTTTTTACAATTCTCATCAATCTCAGAAATGTTCCCCTCACTAACCCGTTAGTGTCAATTGCCACACCACATTGTGACATAGACAATACATAAAATCAAACCATATGACAACGGCTACTTCTCTAGTGGAGGTAACTCCGCCACCTTAAGTCATTTGCAAATTCACCGTGCATAACCATTATTTGAGCTAGTACTAATTTTTTCAATAAAATAAATGTAAATTTCAGGCATTTGGTTTTTTTTTTTTTTCCTCATATTTTGTTTATGTTCCTTTCCCTCCCTCAGGATCCTCATTCATTAGTCGTTCTTCTTTACTAGTTTTAACTATTAACTATCCAAAATAAAGGACAAGACTCAAGGATGTTGAAGATTTTACTCTCACTAGGTCTAATTGAAAATTATAATGTTCAATTATAAGGTAAGAATCTCAATTAGGGTGAGAAATAAAATAACAATGGCTATTTTATAATTCATGTCCATAGTGATGCATAGAATTAATGAAAAGTAAAATATATTTTTTGTCATCATATAGTTAGATTTTTTCTTAGGGGTCGTTTGGTAGTAAGTTTTAAGGGCGCAAAATAAAAGTAATAAATGAGTTTTGATTCTCAAGGTGTTTGGTGTCAAGTATATCCAATTTAGAGTAATTTTCAAGGTTACTTGGAATCCTCAAAAGGCTCATTTTTGGTGCATTAAAAATTTGCTCAAATCAAGGGATTTCCAATCTCATTGTGTGCAAAAGAATCACAAATCCTTCTTTGGATGTACCTGTTCCCAAGTCGTCAATGAATAACAACCACCTTCCACACCGCAAGAACCCCAACCTATTAGCCCTCCTATGTTGGCATCAACAATTGGCACTAGCTCTTGCATCATCAACAACAAGCAATCCTGTCTCCCACACCAATCTTAACCTACAAACCCTCATGTCAACAATGGGTCCTATCTCCAACACCAACCTTGAAATGTGGCCCTAGCTCCCACACCACTACTAATCAACAATCCCACCCCTGCTCCACTAAATTTTTTAAAATATTTTTTGTTGGGATTTTAAGATTAGGGTTTTTTAGCTTTACTTTTATTTAAAAATCTATTAGTGGTTAGCTTATAAAACTCTATTTTTATAATTAAATGTTTGATTTAAATTTAAATTTAAATTTAAATTTTTTGTTTTAATTTTCAATAATCCAAACTTTTAACTAATCAAACAAGAAAAAAGGTTTCATTGCATTACATTCTGACTGACCAGACAAACATTAAAAAAAATTATTATTTTTATTTTGCACTGCATTCTCATAATACTAATACTTGCAACCAAATATACTCTAAGGATATACTACTGCTTAAAAGTGTCAAGGCATCTTTAACATGTAAATTTATATTACGGTGAAGAAATAAGAGCTTATTCTCATAGAATTTGGTAAGAGCAATTATATGGTGCCTACTTTTTTCTAAGCTCTAAATAACTCCATGCCTTCATATGTAAATTACAACGTTAGATACTAAACTATCTTACCAAGAAATTTTTTTGAAATTTCTAAGAATGATAAACAATCAAGTAACATTAAACTCAATCGATCAAGATTACACGATTTTGTACATGGTATCAAGAGGTTTCAAAAGAAAGCCTTTTTTTTTTTTTTTTTTTTTTTTGCTGATGAAAATTAGTACAAATGTTCATAGAAAACAAAGTTCTCTTTGTCCCTAACAATAACAGGCAGGGGTAAGAAATAGAATTTTAGTTAAGGATTGCACACATTAGCGTGATTCAAGCAAGTTTATTAGAAAAGGAAGTGTTATGATTGTATGATTCACAAAAAGTTGCATGCATCATAAAAATTACTTTCATTTCAGATTCTTTTTCAAAGGTAATAGAAAACCTTACTGCAGAGAAGTAAGAAAATAGTTATTGATCCATGCTTGCTTATAGCCACATGGCCATTGGTTTAATAAATTTCAATAATTGAATGATTTTCTCCAAGCTTACTCAAAGTAAATAAAAAGAAATAAAGATAATTTTTAATGGTGGAATTATAGGCCTTTACTTTAACTTCTGATGCCACTTCACAAATGGCACTGAGTTGGCACAAAATAGGCTCAAATTGAAGCCTTCAATGCATATATGTCAATGAAAATATTATTTTTATATTTTAGGCTTTACAGAAATTTCATGTACACACAATAGCAATATTCATGCTGGATCATCAAAATCCCTATATCATATCAAGCATAATGTTTGACAAGAAGCACAAATTTCAAGGCATCACAAGAAGATTGAAT